TGATAAAATATGAGTTTTTGTGGCCTTATAAAGTGTGCAAATCTACATGTGGCGTTAAATCTGATCTAAATATTTCTTGTCATTTCATGTTTCATGTTTAATCCTATGATCAAAGATAAAGTCAGCACCATGAACWAGAACTACCTTCACTACAGCCCTTTTATATAGTCATTTGACCAATGGAAATACTGTGTTTCTACCAATAGGATAACAGGTTACAACCATGTAACTTTGGCAACTGTTGGTGGGCCAAATCAAATGGCTTGGTGGGCCAAATTTGGCCCGCTGGCCCCACTTTGGGCTTCTCTGTTCTAAAGTTTTCCTTCAGCTGAGCAGCATGATCACTGGGATCTAACAAGTTCTCTGATTGTCGCCGTCTCTGAACTTCTTCAGGATGTGTGAAAAAAAAAAATCTCCCAGACATCGACCTATTTCAGATGTTTCCATTTTGTGTTTCCAAGTTCATGCCTTCCCATTGGGAATAATGCACCGTGACTTGTGGTAGCAGAACATTAAACAGTGTAGACATTGTAAAAAAGAAAAAAAAACATGTCTACAAATAGTATTTGGGACAACGGAGCCGTAAAAGGCAGCACTCTTTGGAGCTCAGAGGTTTTCTGCTTCATTGCAGAAACATTTATAAAAGTTAAAACAGATCACAGGAAATTGGCCTTTATATGACTAGACTGGCATTTTGATATTTTTAACTGCTTTCACTGCTGTKGTTAATAAAACTTTGAAGATTTTACCACAGGAAACTCAACTTATGTGATGATGTAAAACACTTTGTTTCAACTTGTTTAAACTTTCTCACATTTTTTGAAAAAATATTTTCTTAGTCACATTTACTCAACTAAAACAGTTTATATATTAAACATTAAAAACCACTGTAGATGGACACCGGCTCCTCTGTGACCTAATAAGGATTAAGCGGTTGAAAGAATTTGATGAATGGATCAGTAAGTGCTTGTTTTACTAGGTAATATAACTTTTAATCCACTGGGTGTCACACTTTATCTGCAGAAATAAAGACTAAAACAAACCTAAGTCTAAACTAAAAGTACAACCTAAACAACTTTAATATTTGTATCATTAGTCAATGAATTAGGATGAATGATTATTTTTGTCTTTGACGTTTTTCAAATAAAGAACATCTGAGAAAAACCTGCATGTATTTTACATGGAAAATATCTATTTTAAAGTTAAAAATGTTGAAAAGTATAAATGTTATGATACCAAAAGCCACACCAAACTATTCCTGATCCAGTTACATGTTTTGGACAGAGTTGTAAAGTAACTAAGTACAACTACTTTGTTACTGTATTTAAGTAGAATTTTTGGGTGTCTGTACTTTACTTGACTAATTATTTTTCAACCTACTTTTTTACTTCTACTTCTTACAATTTTGCACAGTTTTCTGTACTTTCTACTTATTACATTTTTAAAAAGGTAAGAAGTAGAAAGTCATTACTCCTATTTCATTACAGCTTGTTGTTAAAAAATTATCCTCCTGGATAGAGTGAATTTAATTGTGGTTGGATGAGAAGTATAAATAATTCTGATCCTGTATTAGTTTGTACACAATTCATCACAGCTGCAAATAACAGAAATCATGTCACACTCCAGCAGAACACAGCAGATATACTCTATGTATCCTGGTACGAAAATATCTGTGGCATATGCATAAACAGTATATGCA